TAACAAAAAAAAGAGGCTTTCTGAAAGGAACACACTTTAAAAACTGAGGGGAAAAGATCATCAGAGAAATAACTGAGGCAATTTCCCAGCTCCGATGGACAAACTGAGGGCTACCACAGCAGACTGCAGAGGCCTCGCAGCGAGGAGCGTCCCGCACCATGAGAACACCGCTCTGGGCACACGGGCCCACCGTGCTCTGGCTAAGTCACCCCGAGGCTGTGGAGCGGGGGCCCTGCGTGCACCCTCCCTGTTCATGTTGTCATATTTTAACTATATTTTTCCTGTAAACACTTTAAAAACATCTTATAAATGGCACTCTGCTGTATACATCTCTTTGCAACTTGCTGTTGGGTTTTTTAGCACTGCTTTGGGATTTATCCAAGTTGATGTGCATAGATCTAACACATAATACTTAACATAAAAGAATGAGTCTATTTTGTGACTAAAACATAGCTTATCCTCCTTAGCTTATCCCATCCTCCTTCAGAAGCAAGTGACTGCAATTGTTCTTTACTGTCCACAATCCTTTAATGAATGTTCACGTCCACACATGCCGTGCACAAGTGCCAGTGTGTCTCTAGGACACACACCGGAAAGGGAAAGGGCACGGTCGTGGGGTGTGTGCACCTCTGGCTTCACTAGTTTTGACAACTGCTCTAAGTGGTTGAACTAATTTATATTATTGACAGAAGCATCAGAGTTCTCATCACCCCAATTCTTAACCAACAGCTGGTGTTGCTCAACTGATACTTCCCCTCATCACGAGGGATGCTGAAATCCTTTTTGCAGTTCATTGGTCTTTGGGGATTTCTCACTTGTGAGACACTGTGGCAGAGACGAATGGTCCCCAGCATCCACTCTCCTCTTCTTCGTTTCCTAATGGGACACGTGAGTAAATCTCTCACAACGACCCAGCTTCTCTGTTCCTAGGTGTAGCTATGTGATTCAGTCCTGCCAGCAGGATACGAGCAGAGTGATATGTGCAACTCTGGGGTCATCTTCTTAAAGATAAGACTGCATGCCCTGGCCTCCCTCTCTGTTCCCCCTTCCCTGGGAGTGAGGGCCACCGGCAACTTTTGCTACAGTGATGCTGCCATGTGATAAGATGGGAGATCCTCTAGCTAATGCGTAGCCTTAGGTGATGACCTGAAGCAGAGCTTTCCATCTGCCTGGGACACCTTCTTTCCTTTGGACCCTTATATGGAGGGAAATAAACTTCTCGCTTATTTCAGCCACAGTATTTTTGGATCTGTTATAGCAGCTCATTAGCCTAAATGCCAGTCAACAGCCTTTATCAAGTTTTCTGTTGAGTTCT